TTTCAGTTGTGATAGGACTCTGATCAGAGCCTTTCAGGGGTTGGGAGGAAGGGAAGGTGTTTGCCTATGATGTTTCTTAAAGCAATTGCACCACGAACACTAACAAGGATTTGTAAACTCTTAGTTTTATGAGATCATAAACTAGAATGATGAACTTTCTAAAACAGAGTATTCTGGATGAGATAATAGTTCTAGAAGATAGATGGGAAAGAATAGATGCATTTGTTTATATGCAGATTGCCTTGTGATTCCTGTGTCATTTCATGGCAATATCTTTCCTTCAGGCTCCCTCTTGGCCCAGCAACTTGTCCCAGGCTGCCTGGATTCAACACCTACAAAACCCACCCTGGAAGTGTAGGAAAAAACATCCTTTCTGTCCCTGCAGAACCCTGGCTGTCTGGCTGCTCCCCATTCTTCTAAGTCTCCTGCTTGCTGAGCTCTCCTGCAAACTAGCAGGGTCTCTTCACTGAGTGTGCCCCAGGACTGGGCAGTTTTCTCCCAGAATCGGTGTAGCTAGGAGAGGACTAACAGGTACTCCCCCATACTCTTCTACCCCCTACTTACATTATATGAGAGAAACTTCTTGTAGTAACAGTGATTGAACAGGTGATCCACTGAGGGATCTCTTATAGCACTGTTGAGACAGAAAAAAACTTTATAGTCACAGCATCTCAACAGTACCTCTGTTTCAGCTGACTAGGAAAACATTGCAAAGTGGCTCATCTTTTAGGCTTATTATTTAGTGAAATGAGAAATAAGACTGCAATGTTGTAGACTGTACAAAAACTTCTCTGATTATGTTCAGAGATTTGATCTGAGAGTGCATGCTCTTCTTGGTGTGTGTACTCAGAGTATACCAGCTACCCAGCTGTCTTCCTATCTTGTTTTTGTATAGCTCTACAGTGCACTGAATTAGTATTTCCCATAAAAAGTCCAAACTGCAGTGTAATTTGATCTGATCTCCATCAACACCACAAGAAGTTTCTTTTGTGTCCTTCTCCTTCATTCACCTCTTTTCATTCCTCTTATCTCCAATATCTGCAGAACAAGCAAATGCAAGAATAAGAAAACAGATCTGTGCATTTCTCAAAGGTAATTAAAGGGTGAACGTAGAAGTGGGGAGAATTGAACCACAACACAGGGAAAATATAGGGAGTCAGATGGAAGAATGGTAAAGAGGTCAGAAAATGAAGCTATGCTAAGGTGACTGTACATTTCCACTTAGTTAGAGTCCACTCAATGCACTCATTTCATTCCAGCATCTGCCCTCGTTGCTTTGGATGAAATATGCAGGATGCTGTGAAATCTCTTCCACTTTGTATGGTGGGAGCCAACAAGCTGAAGCAATTTTGCAGAGCTATGACCAGATTCCAAGTATCACCTGACCTGCAATAACCTGGTATGTACCCTCCATCCATACAAATGATAAAGCAACTTGTCTTTGAGAAATAATTTAAACGCTTTTTATTCATTCTTTTTTCCTCACATTTTTACTGGTATGCCCTCCTTTTTCTCCTTTTTGCTTTCTATCCCCTTCATCTCTTTATTTTTTTTTTTCCCCCAGTTCATTTGAGCCAGCATTTCTCCTTGCATCTCGAATTCATCAGTAATTCCACAGCCGATTTATTGACATTTTCGTAGAGTCATAGAATGGTGTGAATTCGAAGGGACATTAAAGACCATCCAGTCCCAACCCCCCTGCCCCGGGCAGGGCCCCCTTCCCCCAGCCCAGGGTGCTCCCAGCCCCGTCCAACCCGGCCTTGAACCCTTCCAGGGAGGGGGCAGCCACAGCTGCTCTGGGCACCCTGGGCCAGCGCCTCACCCCCCCGCACAGGGAAGAATTTCTTCCTTACATCTAATCTAAATCTGCTCTCTTTCAGTTTAAAACTGTTACCTCTCATCCTATCCCCACACCCCCTGATCCAGAGTCCCTCCCCAGCTTTCCTGTCCCCCCTTTAAGCCCTGGGAGGCCGCTCGAAGGTCTCCCCGGAGCCTTCTCTTCTCCAGGCTGAACCCCCCCAACCCTCTCAGCCTGGCCTCCCAGGGGAGCTGCTCCAGCCTCCCCAGCATCTTTGTGGCCTCCTCCGGACCTGCTTGAGTTGGTCTGTGTCCTTTTGATGTTGGGGGCCCCCGAGCTGGCCCCAGCACTGCAGGGGGGTCTCCCCAGAGCGGAGCAGAGGGGGAGAATCCCCTCCCTGGCCCTGCTGCCCCCCCTGCTCTGGCTGCAGCCCAGGGCACGGGTGGGTTCTGGGCTGCGGGCGCACGGTGCTGCCTCACAGGCAGTTTTCCCCCCACCAACACCCTCAATCCCTCTCCTTGGGGCTGCTCTCCAGCCACTCCTCGCCCAGCCTGGATGTGTGCTTGGGATTGCTCCGGCCCACGGGCAGAACTTGGCCTTGTTGAACTCCATGAGGTTTGAGAAAGCCTTCATCTTTCTAGATTCTACCTTTCAAGCATATTAAAGTGGACATAAGGGTTATGTTTCATTGCAGGTTGCCATCAGTCATATCTTCTCTTGAGAAAGAACTAGTTTCAAGTGGAATATACATTTATGGTTACGTGTTTACACATGCACCCTTAATATTTTATTCGTAGGCAGTACACGGAGGAGTTTCCTTCGTCTTGTTTATGCCATACTCTCTGGAACCGGTAGCAGTGCCACATTGCAGAGTCACTTCCCAAGGGTTTTTTTTGATGTGGCTGTTTTGTCACAGACAGTGGGCGAGGTGGGTGCCCTGCCCCGAGGGGGACGTGCCCCACGGACGAGCCCTCCTGGGCACTCCCGATCCCTCAGCTGGGCTCGGGCCGAACGCGGGTGGGAGCTGAGCCACGGCCCGAGAGCTGCCGCGGGGCGCGGGTGGGCGCAGCCTGGCCACCGGGCACCAGGTGGCAGCGCCGCGCCACGCCACGGGGCCCACGGGCTGCGCTGCGTGGCTGTCCGAGGGAAAGTGGGGAAAAAACAGCCACCCCGGCGGTCCCCTCACAGCGGCAGTGCTGGAGAGAGGGGTTCTCCCAGTCGACCATGTGTAGTCTCGTTTTTTGCAAAACCACATGTCGCCCTGAACTTTCCAGATCAGATCAAAATTTGTGGTAAGGGGTGGAACTGGCTTGGTTTAATTCACGTGGTTTTAAGCCTTCTTTGGGTACCACACAGTTAGCTGTGCTCACCTACATCCCTGCTGCTGCTAGCCACAGTGTCCTGGTGTCATTCCTGTGCCTGTCAGCCAGACGAGGGGTAGCTGAAGTAGTGTGGGGGCCTTCCGCGTCTCTGAAGTGCAAATTACACCAGCTGAGATGTCTCAAATACCTTTCGAGTAGGAGTAAGAAAGTTCCAGTGGCAGCTAAATAAGTAGAACATAAGATTTTTGAACTAAAATTTAAAAACCCCCAAACCCCAGACAACTCCACTGAATTCAATCTGACAAATCAAGCACAGCCTATGTAATAAATCTCTCCAGCTAATTCAAATGCCTGTCCTGAACATGTGTGCATGGCTGGAATATATGGATTATTTTCTAGGTTACAGTGTGTAACATATCATGTTGTAGTCTATAGTCTAGACCTAATTGGTCTAAAATAATGCAGCCAGACTCACTTCTGATGAAATTCCACCACCTGAGGTGACACCCTGTATTTCAGAGAAGTTTGTTTCCATCACTGTTCAGAATCAGAGCTAATCCCTGGTTTGTATCTGTTTACATTGCCTAGAAGTTTAGAGTGCCAGTTCTTAGTTCTTCACTGATTATAAAACTCAAACATTCTCCTGTTGATGTGAGATCCTAGAAGCACCAACACTTGCATGTGCCAAATGAGTATTAAAGTCATATGCCTGCTCTTTTAGTGACCCCAGCGTGTGATTTCACAATTCATATTATCCAGTGGCTGTATGGATTTAAACTATTCCTGCCTCCCTTTTCCCTCTTCCAAATTTTCCTGACCCTGGCTTGTTTTGGTTTTTTGTTGTTTTTTTTGGTTTTTTTTTTTTTTTTAAATTTTTGTTTTTTGTTTTGTTATTTTTTTTTTCTCTCCTTAGTTTTGGGTTACTTGCTGTTTTCATTTTTGGGGAAAAGGTTTTTCATTGCCCCAATGAATTCCCTCATCTAGTTCACAATATGTCCTGTAATGTTTCTGCTGGTAAAAAGAATGGATGAGCAACAGGTAGTGAGAAGCAAGCAGAATATTTTATCTTGTTTCATGACCAAGCTAAATGGTTATCGTTTTCATGAGCACTTATGAAACCAGGACCTTTGGGAGGTCCTTGTGACCTTCCAAAAGGAGTGCTGGTGTTACAGGTGTTAATATTATTTGAACTTAATGCTCCATGAACTCCCCATTTGTTCAGCATAGTATTGTCATGTGCACACACCAACTGCCTATTGATTTGGAGAGCGCAGGTTCTGTCTATAGCACAAGTATCAGTTGTACAAAGAGCAAGTGATAAATGCTCAGGGACTGCCATTAATTTTGTTTTGTCTTCAATTATGGCAGTTTTCAAACCAGGCAGCTTGTACTTGTGCTTTCAAATCACTAGCATTTTAAAAAATACAGCCTAGAGATCTGTATGGCAGTAGTAATATTCCCGCTACCATATCTCTGCCCTCCATATTTCAGAGACTTATTTACATAAATACAGGGTGTTCTTTTCTTGGGTATAAAACCAAGCGGCACTTTAAATTGTGCGTTTGCTTGAATTTGAAAATTTGATTCTGATCTTTAATGCAGTTTTCCATTTGAGGAATACAGGTATTTCTCTGTCGAGCTTTTCGGCACTTACAGCCTGGGACATAGCGCAGCCCCTGGGGTTTCTGGCAGGGGAGGCTCAGGCCAGGCATAGTGAGGGGGAATGCAGCTGTTGTGCATTAATTGTCTCCGAGCGAAGGTCCAAACTGATTTTTTTCTCTGGGTCTAGGTCGGGGGAGGGGGGGGCGAGGAGGAGGAGGAGTCGCAGCGGCTGCGTCCGCGGACAGGCAGGTCCCGCGGTCTCCTCCGCGAGTGTTTTCCTCCCCGTGTGGGAGCGCCGGCCGTTCCGCGGGGCACCCGGCGGCTCCCCCGCTCCCGCCGCCGAGCATCAGCGCAGCCGGGCTTCCCCGGGGCGGGGAGCGGGGGGACAGAGAAAAGTAACTTCGCGCCGGCTGCGGGCGGGGTCGGGGTGATGTAACAGGAAGCGCTGCCGTGCCGCCGCTGCTCGCCGCGGAGGCTGCGCTCGCCCCGGCGGCACCGGGCGCGGAGGCTGCGCTCGCCCCGGCGGCACCGGGCGCGGAGGCTGCGCTCGCCCCGGCGGCACCGGGCGCGGAGGCTGCGCTCGCCCCGGCGGCACCGGGCGCGGGGACACGGGGAGCCCCCGTTGGTTGCGGGGCAGCGCTCCGCTCCCGCACAGGCTCAGCGCGGTGAGTAGCGGCCGAAACGGCTTCGGGGTTTTGGAGCGGGGAAGCGGCGGTTCGGAGCCGGCCGAGGGCGATTCTGGTCACGCGTGGGAGTTTGTCCGTGAGCCTCGGCGTGGGACAGGCAGTCCGAGGGGGAAGCGGGTACGCGCGGGGGCAAGCTTCGTTTGCTTTTAGTGAGCGAAATATTTGAGCTAACTTTATAACTGGCGGTGTTATAATGTAGCCTCGAGGAAGTAATCACCGATAAATAGAAAAAGAGGTAAAAATACTCTTATCAGCGCTTAAAGGATTCTGTATAAAACATCTCATATTAGTTAACCAAATTCCTGTTGTTGCATCTGGAGAGAATTAGAGGCTGATTGGTTTGAAAAGGGTCCTTAGGACTAATTCAGCACACTTGGAGCTCTTCCAGGAGAGGCTGAATTAGGTGATAAAGTGGTGTAGATCTTCTTACTGAATATTCTTTTAATCTTATTGACGCTGTTGTACCGGAAAGAGGTTATACTTGGATTATTTCATAATTAGGTTTTCTGTTGTAATTCCACTACTGAAGAGATAAAGCTTCTGTTTTGTTTGGACTTTCTGGTTTTTTTGAGAAAAAGCTCGAGTCTGAAGCTTGTACGTGTGCTGGGGTTACTGTTAGAGAGTTTTCCCACAAACACTGAACTGATTTATTGGAAGGTAACTGTCCGCTATTTCATTTCCTTGTGAAATTATTGAATAGCGGGAAGTGTGTGATTCTGTGCCTTCCAGGATCAGCTGAGAGACGGTTGGTTAAGAGAGTCTTGCCACTTTTTCAACTTTCCACAACAGATGGGGTATTCTCTGCTTTTACAAATAAGGTTGCATGGCTGAGATTGCTATATGTAGGCATTTGCTTTTGTGTGTAAGCAATGGATCTGTAGAATCTGGAAAATAAATCTTGCTTCTAAAGGGTAGTTAAGAAATAGCATAGGCTATAAATCACCCTTGGATTTGATCTACAGTGATTTATTTAGTCAACCATACGTTTTATAGGGGCTGAGATTTAAACAATAACAAAAATAGCTGAGTTTTTTGCTCTCTACGTTAATAAATTTATGCCAGATGCCTTGGGGCCAGATTTTGCTGCTCTTACAATTGTGCCTATGCAGAGTCTCTCCAGTCACGTTGGGCATACTGAGGAGCTTACTGTTCATTTGCAGTAATAATGAGTATAACAGTTTAAACCTGTGCAGGTCAGTGATGTGCTAAAAGCCTGACTGTTGTGCTCTGAATCTGAGGTCCTTTCAACTGACTGGAAGGAGACACACTAGATCTGGATAAACATGAATAAGACCAGATCTGAATCCAGGTGTTTTCTTTCAAAGTACACATACTGCCTGAAAATCTCAATTAAAAATGATGATCTGTATTTTCACAGTATTGATTTCTGTACTCGGCTTAAACTCTCATTGGCTTCACTGCGTATAGGAGCAATCCCAAAGTCTTTATCTGACTTTGAAAATCTTCAGCACAAAAGGCACTTGGTGTTACTAAATCAAACAAGGTGACACTTCAGATAAAAAGTGTTGATGTTGTTTTAATGGTCAGTGCAGTAGGAACAACTGTCTTCAGAAGTATTTCAGCTAAATGATTTAGATTCTTATTTTATACTCTTCTCAAGTAACTGGTTTAGGTTGTGGTGGGACTGCCCACTTAAAAAGTGTCAGGCATATATGTGGTTGCAGGTTTAATGCCAGAATCTACATTATATGCAGCTTAAGCAAAGGCAGTGGCTCGATAGAGACGTAGAACGGTGTGACTGCACTTTTTAGTGGACAGAACTAAATACACAAGTATATGACGTGCATTGCAAGTTCAAGAATTACATGATGTATGTCCTGTCAACTTCAAATGTTATCGTACTCTGAATTCCTGATCAGCTAGAGTCTTGCTCTGCGTTAAGAAATGTCATGTTTGACCCTTTGAATAGGCTTTTCTTGATACAACTGTTGAAACCCTGGCCCACGGAGAGACAGTGGGAATTTTCCCACTGACTGTCAAAGGGCAGGATATTCTAAAAGTGGGTATTTTTCTATTGAAGGAATTACACATACATCACCCGTCCAGCCTCTTGTGTTCTGCCTTCTGTTGGCAGCTGGTTTTTGATAACTTCTATAATTTCTGAATGCTCAAGTTTAAAAACGTAAATCTGCACGTCTCCTTCATGGTGACTGACGTCGTACCCGGCTAAATAAAGGGACCTGCTCCGGGAACGCAGTATTGCTCTGTGTGCTGCCTGGGCATTGCAGTCCAGATGTAGACTGGGACACAATTCAGAACAAAACTGAGGGGAAAAAAGCACGCTAATACATTTCTTTTTGCCACCAATATAATTACTAACTTAGTTCTATATTCTGTGCATTCAAGTTTATCAGCTGCTTTTGATGGCATTCCTAGCATGTGCAAGAGCCGGGTGGGATTGGGTCCACGAAGTCATACAGATAAAAGATTGAAACCAGCCCATGGGCATTTGGAAGAAACTACTACTATCAATATGTTTTTAATAGTAATGTATACACAGTGATATTTATATCTAGTCACACCTATAGTAAATGCTGAACATAAGCTATTTATGAAAGCAATTGAAGGAATTTCTCCAATGAGAAGTCCAAGTCTACAGTTAGGAAAACAGAACAGAATTTGTCTTTAAGAAGTTGTTCCCATCTGTTCCCAATGTGTTTACAGCGTTCTTGATCTGCTAGTAAAATTCCTTCTGTGCTTCTGATTAGCTGTCGTTCCTGTAGAGTGCATACACAATATTGGCGTTACCTCAGTGTTACGGTCACCTCTGTTCTAAAAGCATGTGTCGCTATGTCATTGGGATTCATATGTAGTAGTTTCCTCTGTTAAGCTTTTCACTTATTGAAACCAGTCTGTTAGTTGCTCAAATAACTGTTCAGTTACTGGGAAATACTGTATGCCTTTGGTGTAGCAAATTGTCAGAGCTCTGGAATTAACTATATTCTTGATACCACTGTGTCAAGGAAGGAATGAAAACTTCTACTAGCAAAACAGATGTGAGTTGACAAGCAAATAACTTTTAAGCAGTACAATAAATTTGGAAGTGGTTTTGCATATGTGTTTTTGTCTATTAGACATGTAATAGTATATATAATGTATTATTTTTATGTACATATGTACAATATACGTGGGTCTATATCGTGCTGACTTTTCTTATTCCTAATGTATCAACTAAAGAGAGAACATGTACGTTTTTAAAGAGACTTTCAAAGTAAATTAGTCCTAAACTTCATCCTTTGTTTAGAAAACGGTGAGTCATGAATGTCAACATTTTAAATTGAACACGTTTGAATGTTGTTTCCTTTTAATATTTAAAAGAAAAAGGAGAAAGCTTTCCATGGATGTTTACAACCCATTTTTTTTCTAATTTTTTTGTACTTATGTTGGCAATTCTGATGCTTTCAGTGTAATACAGTTGCACAAAGAGCAAGCAGCAGAAATTTAGCCTATTGCTTACCTGTTACCTTAAGGGAGAATCCCACAGCTAGTACACTACAATGTAAGATCTTCCAATTAAATTTGTTGCTATTAGAGCATTTGTTTTTTAGCAATACTTTTTTCTTTTTGTCCTATTTTAGAATCTGGGCAAAACTGGAAGGCTAAACTTTTGCATTTTCAGAGTTTTGTTTTCACAGTTCTCTCCCATTTCTATCTGCCTTAGCCTCCCAAGCTTGCTTACACTGTTTACATTTTCCCAGCAAAGCCATTCTTTTTCTGCCCTAGTTCTGTGCAAACACTTTCAATCATTGCTGCAGTATATGCTGTCCAAAAGAACAGAAGTGATTTATTTAGCATTGCTTTTCCTTGGAAAGATGCATTTGAAATGCACTTAACTGAGTATAATGCATTTTAAATAGACTTTCCATGAGAGAAGCAGTGTACTCACTTCAAGAAAAGAAAACAGATTCTCAACTGGTGTAAATTCACATGTGTCTCTCAAGCTGTTACATTTTAATTATAGCATAGATGTTACCCAAGACTTTTCTGACAGTCTTGGCCACTATTAAGCTGTAGCTGACCATTAAGATACTAATTGAAGTTTAGAAAATAAAACAATGTTGTATTTCTGGATTTATGCCTGGATCGTGCAGGCCTTATTTAAAACATACCCCAAACAAAATTAATGGCAGAGTTTTCTTTAATGAAGCCTGTACCAGTCTGACTTCCTATGTAATACCGAGGACAAGGAGCAAAATGCAGTGATTTTCTTGATTATTATTATTATTACGTTCAAAGCAGCTACCTCATATACTGTGGTGTGCTGTCAGCTGTGCTTAGGCTGAATATCTTTTCAGTTCCTAAAAACTATATAATCTTTTTTACATATTCTTTGATAATTCTGAGCTTGAAACTGCACAACCTTGATGCTTGTGTGAGCATAAACTGTCGCTCTTTGTATTACCATTTAGGCTTTCCCTCACTTTTTTTCTCCCCCATTTCAGTGGTACAACCTTGGAAATTAATTTTAATAAATTTTGTATTATGTTAATTCTGGAAATGCTGGACGAGTTTCATTAAAGCAAAAGATGTACTGAGAACATATTTGTTATACCAAAACCCATTTGTTTTAGACTTTAAAAATATTTTTCATATTCATATTATCAGAAATGAATATAGTTTGTCTCACAATGTTGTGCTCTATAATTCTTCCTAGATAGACATTTTAAAATATATATTTCAGAAATGAGTAAGAGCTTTAGACAACATACTTCTTTTCTCTGTGGTTGTATCTGTGTATGTATTTATTGCCCTAAATGGAGCTGAAAAATAGTACTCTGCAACCTTTGATCACTAAAAAGGCACATTTTTGCAATGATTATCCTGAAATATTCTGTATAATGGGGATATCAGCCCTTTTGTTTCTCTTAACGAAATCCAGCAGGTGTCACTCTGGGGATTAAATAAGGAATATTTCCCAAGTGGAGATAAATTTGTTTGGGAGATGAGATGTAGAATTT